GTGGCTCATGCCTGTAATCCCTGCTACTCGGGAGTCTGAGGCAGGAGAAATGCTTGAACCCAGGAGGCAGAGGTTGTGGTGAGCCGAGATTGTGCCATTATACTCCAGCCTGGGCAAAAAGAGCGAAACTCCACCTCAAAAAAACAAAAAAAGTACATTGCTCAAGTTTAAATTCCTTAAGCAAGGCAGGATTTGGTGGGCCATTGGATGAGATAGAAGAGACCTGGGTCTTTTGACAGAGTCTTGCTCTGTCACCTAGGCTGGAGTACAGTGGCGTGATCTCAGCTCACTGCAACCTTCGCCTCCCGGGTTCAAGCGATTCTCCTGCCTCAGCCTCCCAAATAGCTGGGATTACAGGCACACTCCACCACGCCCGGCTAATTTTTGTGTTTTTAATAGAGATGGGGTTTTGCCATGTTGCTCAGTCTGGTCTCAAACTCCTGACCTCAGGTGATCCGCCCACCTCCGCCTCCCAAGGTTCTGGTATTATAGGTGAGTCACTGTGCCTGGCCCAAGAGACCTGGGTGTCACTCTCAGTTCTAGATCTTAATTTCTCCATCCACAAGGTAAGAATGGCCAAAGTAAAAATTGTTGGAAAGTTGTTCTTCTTGTCCACTGTATACAGCACATGCCTGCACCCTGCTTGTCAGGCCATTTCTAATGTACTCACCTACCAGGAGAGAAACGCGTCAGTGGCTGCTGGTTTCTTTCTTTTTTCCAGAGCTTTGTTTACAAGTGGCTGGAACAACACTGAAAAAAAGGTATACAACATCCCTGGCATTTCCCCCGACATGATGAAGCTAATCATCGAGTATGCGTACACCCGGACCGTGCCTATCACACCGGACAATGTGGAGAAACTGCTTGCTGCTGCAGACCAATTTAACATCATGGGTATTGTCAGGGGTTGCTGCGAGTTCCTCAAGTCGGAGCTGTGCTTGGATAATTGTATCGGCATCTGTAAGTTCACCGACTACTACTACTGTCCTGAGCTGAGGCAGAAGGCCTACATGTTCATACTGCACAACTTCGAGGAGATGGTGAAAGTCTCTGCGGAATTTTTAGAGCTCTCAGTCACTGAACTTAAGGATATTATCGAGAAAGATGAGCTCAATGTCAAACAAGAAGATGCTGTATTTGAGGCCATTTTAAAGTGGATTTCCCATGACCCCCAAAATAGAAAGCAGCACATTTCAGTTTTGCTTCCTAAGGTCAGTGTTCACTCTTGATTCCTTTATCCCAGAGAGATTGTCCTAAAAGCAAAATTCAGACGTATAACAGATCCCAAGGCTGTATCTACATGTCCTTAGATAGAAGGCATCCACTATTGTCTGGAATTTTGCAACTGTCGTTTCCTTTGGCATTACTAGTTCTTTTTACTTCAGTTATAGTCTTTGACCAAAATCCTTTCTGGTGGTGGGGGAAGGAGAGCGCCTTTTTTTTTTCCCCAACGCAGTCTTGCTTTGTCACCAGGCTGGAGTGCAGTGGCGCAATTTCGGCTCACTGCAACCTCCACCTCCAGAGGTTCAAGCAGTTCTCCTGCCTCAGCCTCCCAAGTAACTGAGACTACAGGTGCACGCCACCATGCCCAGCTAATTTTTTTTTTTTTTTTTTTTGAGACGGAGTTTCACTCTTGTTACCCAGGCTGGAGTGCAATGGCGCGATCTCGGCTCACCGCAACCTCCGCCTCCTGGGTTCAGGCAATTCTCCTGCCTCAGCCTCCTGAGTAGCTGGG